TTAATACGTCATTAGCTTCAATAGACTTAAAACAAGCTGAAGGTAAAGTTTTGTCACATGTCAAACTTTCCCTACTAGCCCCGTTCAAGTTAAATTACGTATGCGAAGAAAACTAAATAGATTAATATTTGTGCAAGAGCGCTACGGGTAATACAACAGCTAAGGGCCTGGCTATCTACTTTTAAGGCACCTATAGAATTTGTTTTTGGAAATAGATTTAAATGTTAAAATACATGAGCAATTAAAAATGAGTTTTGCCCCGGTTTAGCAATCTTAACGTATATCATATTTGATGGTGTTTCTGAAGTGGTATACATAATATTAATTATGAGGGTTTTTTTGAAACAATCTAATTTGTCTCAATAAAACAACCGTCTTCACTCTTAAACCCTTAATTTTTAAATACGATTCATAAAAGAATATGTTCTCATTAGTAAAGATTTGAAGCTTATAAAACGCTGAAGTTTAATGTAGGTACTAATTTTCAACAATATATTATTTTCTCCAAATCTGCTCAGTCCAATTTTTTTTCTCTACCTACTGGAATTCTTCAGTTATGTAATTGAGTTAGTTATGTAATATCTTTACTATCTAGATAAAACTGAACTCAGATAAACTATCTTAGAAAATAATTAAATATGATAAACCTTGTCTTTCATTTTATGACTAAACAGTGAATACAAAAATAGTTTTTGTTTAAGGGTACAAGAGGCTTATGTTGTAGGTACATGATATTTTCTGTCTTTTGTACGCTGTGAAGCTAATAATTAATATATATAATAGGCTGATTCAAAAAAAATTATTAATTTTTTTTTTCGAAACCCTCATGGAAAACCTTTCGAAAAGGTGTCAAAAAACGCCTGTAAAAATTAGAGCTCTTAATATTAATATTAAGAGGTTGCGCATCGCAGATTTCTATTTCCCATTTAAATAACAAGGAAAATTTTTTTTTTCATTTCAGAATTTTGTGACTCTTAAACCGCTTTATGAACTGCCAAACCAAAAAGTACTTTTATAAAATTAATTTATATTAATTATTATATTTTAAATTATTTTATAATTTTATGAAAGTACTTTTTGGTTTGGCAGTTCATTGGCAGTTCCTATAGGAAATTTGACGCTCTACAAAAAAGGTCTCCACAACGTTTTCGATAATCCTTCCCATTTCGAAGTTATTCGTGGTCAAAGTAATATTTACAAAAAAATTACAGGTTTTTTTTTTTATAATATTATTAATCTTTGATTCAAAAATTTGCCTTTTAGTGGTCATCTCTTTCAATAATTACTTCAATAAATAGTTTAGTTACATAAGATTACGTTAAATTAACTTGAGAAAATTAATAGCTAACTAACTCCAATTCGATTAGATTACAATATCCGAAGAAATCTGGAGATAAAGGCTTAAAACAATGAAATACAGTTTGAAGTAAAATCATAACATGTGACTTATTGGTTATGTAGGTAAAAAAGTGCACTTCTCGCACATCATTTGTAAATAGGCTACAGTTGTTTTTTTTTTTTTTTATGAAATAAATGTCAATTGAGTGTTACGATAAAAAGTGCCTAAACTAAAGTTTTTGTGACACAATTACTCATAAAAAAGATATAAAACACTCTTCTAATTATTAAATCACACTATGAAATAACAAAATTTTGGAAAAAAGATTAATAATATTATCAAAAAAAAAAAAAAATGTAATTTNTGTGACACAATTACTCATAAAAAAGATATAAAACACTCTTCTAATTATTAAATCACACTATGAAATAACAAAATTTTGGAAAAAAGATTAATAATATTATCAAAAAAAAAAAAAAAATTTTTTAGTAAATATAACTTTGACCACGAATAACTTCGAAATGGGTAGGATTATCGAAAACGTTGTGGAGACCTTTTTTGTAGAGCTTCAAATTTCCTATGAAAGTACTTTTTGGTTTGGCAATTCATAAAGCGGTTTAAGAGTTACAAAATTCCGAAATTCAAAAATTTTTCTTTCCGTGTTATTTAAATAGGAAATAGAAATCTGCGATGCGCGACCTCTTAATATTAATATAAGAGCTCTAATTTTTTCAGGCGTTTTTTGACACCTTTTCGAAAGTTTTTCCATGAGGATTTCGAAAAAAAATAATTAATCATTTTTTTTGAATCAGCCTAATATATAAGTAAGTATTGTATAGTTATAGGATTTTGAGAATTTAATAGAGTTAAGCAGTAACACAGTGTACACAAAACATGCTATCGTAACAATTTTTAAAATCGAAATTAAATTTTGTTGACCTACAACAAAACGTATTTATCGATTACGTGCGCAGTCGGGTTTTATTATTTTGACATTGTTTGCTTGTTTATAAATAGTATTCTGAGGGGCTTTTTTTCTACAATGTGTTTTGATATTTAATTTGCTTTAAACCAGTTTTGAAATGATATTGTTTGTTTTTAAGAATAAATCTGAATGTGTTTTTTTATTGCTTAGATGGGTGGACGAGCTTACAGCTCACCTGGTGTTAAGTGGTTATGGAGCCCATAGACATCTATGACGTAAATGCGCCACTCACCTATCCCCCGTGGTACCTATCCGTGCGGACTCACAAGAGATCCTACCACCAGTAAACAATAAGTGTATTTAACAATCGAATTTATTAGGCCCTTTATGTTCCTGAGGTGAGTTCGATTATATTTAAGGATAAAAAAGAACCTAAACATAAAACAGGCTCGACAAAGGAGACAAGTTTCAACGAGAACCTTATACCGGTTTTAGTGATTCAGTCATGGCGACTTTCAATTTCAAAGAAAGTATAAACACGTACAGTAAATATCGACATTACACGTTCATTAATTAATAACCGGTTCTCCATCGGGTATCATGTTGGATCTATTGTTTGATGTAGTTTCAGCGGAGATGCGTGACATCGTCGCGTCACCCCGACCCATTTACAAAACAAATCAGTGGCTGCGCCCACGCAACGCGACTACGTCAATCGCGATTCAACGCCCATACCATACAACGAGATTTAATACCTTCGATTTCTAAGAAGGACGCACAAACTGTAAAATCATTAAGATCCTACTTATAGGAATTTATCGGCGTTTATGAATCATAAAAACGGTATCGCCTTGGTCTAAGGAAACTTTACATGCAGGTATCGTTAAAATACTTACATTAAGATATTTACTTGCATTGAGGTCTACTGGCGGGAGGACCTCTTGTGAGTCCGCACGGGTAGGTACCACCACCCCACCTATTTCTGCCGTGAAGCAGTAATGCGTTTCAGTTTGAAGGGTGGGGCAACCGTTGTAACTATAATTGAGACCTTAAATTTTATGTCTCAAGATGGGTGGCGCATTTACGTGGTAGATGCCTATGGGCTCTAGTAACCATTTAACGCCAGGTGGGCTGTGAGCTCGTCCACTCATCTAAGCAATAAATAAAAAATTAATGACATGTCATCTGTCTAGAGTCTTAATAAAAGAATAACCTTCGCAGTAGTTTCGTAGTTTCTCATTTCATGATATGAAATTGTATTTTCATACGTATATGAAACAACACGGTTATAGCTTATACTAACATATAGGTACCTATAATATCAACTTAAGATCCAATTACTTAAGAGTAGACAATAAATATGCAGTATATTATTATGTGTAGACTGAATCGAAATTTTTCGTTAAATCTTTTTTTACCGCATAGATACTGTCCCACAGATGGCTATCCTTGAGATAATCATAGTTTACCTGTAGTGTAAATTCTATTAGTACTTGCCTACTCCTTGCCACTCCGAAATTCAAAAGGAATTGGTAGAGTGGTCGTCGTTAATGATGATGGCGCGTTTTCATTAACTAAATCCACTCGCAGATAGAAATAAAGTTAGGGAAAATATCATAAAAGTCAAGTAATGAAAGTTGTGAAGGAAATAATACGACTCATTCAATGATAACATATTGCTGGTACCAAGCGCCGATATAATAATATTATTATGCAAATGCATACGATATAAGATTGACCTTATCATCAATAAAGATTAGACGATGCTTTTTAATTTACAACGGCTAATAAATAGCGTGGCAACGTGTATATCTGAACGTATACGTAAACTGTTATTAAATTAATTCATTCTATCGTATCGATACACACATGCGCGTTTTACAGGTTTGTGTGTCGACCGATGGCCGTTTTAGTTACCGTTTCGCGCAAACAGGCCCAAAGTAGGACAATTGCCAAAGCTACTAGTTTTCACTAGTCAACATTTTAAACGGCACCTGTCTGAAATTCATTAATATATCTGTATAGCTGACCCGGCAGACTTCGTAGTGCTATAACACTCTGCTATCAATCTATAAATAAAAGACCCAAACTTTTGTATAAAATAAACTTAAAACAAACAAAAGGAATCCGTCCGACGGGGGACACATCAAAGGAAAAACAAAATTCTTATTTTTATTTAATTCCGAGCATTTTCATATTTATCTATCTTTTAAACCTTCCCTGGACTTCCACAAATAATTCAAGACCAAAGTTAGCCAAATCGGTCCAGCCGTTCTAGAGTTTTAGCGAGACTAACGAACAGCAATTCATTTTTTATATATATAGGTATCTGTATCTTTTTTTTAATTCTCATTGTTTATCCTTTTATATTGTTTTCGAACACCTCCGAAAATAGTTCACAGTGAGTATTATTACTTCACTTATCTTTTTTTTTTGTTGTTGCTGTGTGTTTGTGGACGAGATCAAGGCTCACGTGTTATTAAGTGGTTTCCAGGGTTTATGGACATTAATATCGCCACGTAACGTGATATATGATGTTGAAGTTTCAATTATTTTTGTTTTCCGGTTTTTCTATCCTACAAAGTGGAACGCATGTTTCGCGGCAGAAGCAAACTAGGTAGATACGAGATAGATCGTTTGCGAGTTGTTCATCCAACTATTAAAATAGTGAGCTTCTGTTTACAACGCGACGAAATGGCTAACGTGATCGTGTTTGGAATTTCGTAATTTACTCACCAGAGTCTTCATAAGTGCCGATAGTTCCTTTGTGACGACAGCGAACTTGAAGAAGGCTGCTCCAATATCTGGCTCAGAATCTTTGCTAAGAGCGTTTCCAGCGAGCCGCTCCAGCGTTCGTGAAAGATACATCTCGTTGTCCACGTGAGCTAGAAACAATGAACTAGATAAATTATCTTTGTATTCGCGGTAATTTTAGCCAAAAAAAAAACTTCTTATAAGGAGAATAATGTAACTTTTACCAACAAGCAAAGTTAGAGATTCAGAACAAAATACGTCCGCTGTTTTGGTTTTATTCAATAAAAGTTTAGTCTTAACACAAAAGTTTAAAAGACATGTTTCCACTTATTTCACCTGAGCTGCCGGACATTTATTTAGTTAGCCAGGCGGGTTAACTTAAGATGACAGGATTCGTTGCAAAAAAATTCTCCAGACGTTGCATTATTGCAAATATAGCAATTAAGTATATTATGAAATTAAAAGATACATGAAAAAATACACACAAAGTTGAATTGTAAATCTACAATGATGTGCATATAATATTTGTAATCAAAAGATCAAATTTAGAAAAATCTGTCTAGTCCAAAATTTGTTTAGCTTACGAATTTCATACTTTTGAGGAGATATACCTATCACATTATTGTGTATTGAAAGACGTACTGGTGTAAGAATCTTTGGGGGATCCGTGTCACGACCCACATTTACTTAGTTCAATCCCGCCGACGCTTTCTGAATATTAAATGGCAAAACAGAAGCCTTTCAATTCCTCCACACTAGCCTTCATTTTGTATTCTACGAAGTTTTCATCAGGATGAGTTAACAAAAAATGACGCTACAACTTTTAGGGTTTCCATCAAAAACATTTTTCTTTAAATAATAATATGTAGATAAAAATTATATCTCAACTATGTACTGTATAATAAGGATTCGTTGGGGTAACTTTTTATGGGCATACGATAATATTAAACTAAAAATAAATAGGCACATGGATAAAAAAAAATACATTCAGTTCTGTTTGAAAGTTTTCGATTTGGAAAATTCCACAAGTAAACGTAACGTGCCTACAACACAAACGTACCTGCGGCAATGTTCAGTTAATAAGCTAACTGTATTTTCGTTACTCATATGTTGTTAAACACGAAATCATCATTTAGGAATGTTTGTGAGTTGGTTTTTGCGTTCGAGAAGTGCGCGCGCGACCTTGCCCACTACGGGCGCGCAATCTGAACCCGCGCGACCAGTTCCGAGCGCAAACCAAGCTCGAGCCGCTGTAAACAAACTATATAGCACGCGACGAAATAAAAAAATAAAAAATCGGTTGTCTGTAAAGTCGGTTTACTGAGGATAGTTGAACGTGACAACGTCATAAGAAAATACTGATGGAATGGTTTCATTTTTCAAAAGAAAATTTTAATTTTACTATAGGTCCCGCAGCAGTCGAAATTCAACTATAATTAATTGGAATTGTAGGTTTGTACACTATTATGTATTTTATACTTCTATAATCACAAAATTCACCAAGACTACACTATAAAAAATATTAACAAAGACAAACCATATTCTATTCTCAATTTGACAACAGACGTCAAGAACAAAAGTTTGACAATAAATAGTAATTAATAGTATGCATGCGTGTTGCGTCAAATACATGGTATGTAGTGTGTGTAATGTTTTCTTTATTGATTAATGTATCTTTTATTTAATTTCTATATAATATAATCTATTTAAAAAAAAATATTAGGATTGTGCACTTTTTCTCTATATCTATACTAATATTATAAAGAGGAAAGATTTGTTTATTTGTTTGTTTCGAATAGGCTCCGAAACTACTGGACCGATTTGAAAAATTCTTTTTCCATTAGAAGTCGACATTGTCCCTGATGAACATAGGCTACTTTTTTTATTATTTTTTTATTTTATTTTTTTGGTTTCATGTGTGTTTTAATGTTTCCGAAGCGAAGCGAGGGCGGGTCGCTAGTTCTCTATAAGTGTGGAAAATTTCATACTCCTCCGTCCGCGCAATTTTCTTAAAAAGGGATACAAAGTTTTTGCTTCACGTATTATTTTAATTTTATTTGTTTGATAGATATTTTGTATGGATATAGAGAAGGAGGTAAACGGAAATCACTATTGAATTGATCAAGTTACATTTATTTGTACGCATAAATACAATTATGTAATTATATTTTTTTTACAATGTACATAGTTTTTTTACAATTATGAATGTGCTTTGAATTGTATTATTGTATAGGAGCTGTCCACGCGGATGCATCGCTCACTCAAGTAGGAGAGAGACAGATGTCGAAGGCTGCCAAACGCGGAGGCCGATTGTGCCTCTTTGTCGCTCGTTGCGCGCTCTCGCTTGCACTTCAAGCCTTAAATGGAACGCCTCAGAGCGAGGTAACACCGCATGAGTCATGTTTTTTCGTGCGAATTATAAGACGTTGTCACGTCAAAGGCATTTAAATATCGATCAAACCTCCTACACGTCTTTCATTTTTAAATTTAAAGACGCCTCTGCGTCAGGTTTTTGTGAGCAAACTGATGTGTGTGGCGAATTTCAAATTATAATTTGTAACACCCGTATATTTCAAAGTCAAATGTGTATTTTAGTAGATAATAGAAAATTTGCATTTAGTTCGTGTAGTGAGTGTATTTTTTCAATTACAAATTTAAGAAACAGTAAAAACCATTTATCAACGAAAAACGTGGCTGTATATTGAAAGTCAGTCAAAATAAACACCGACATAATTATTTTTTTGCTTACGTACTGCTTGAGCGAACCTGTTCATATATTATATTTATAGTTATCGCGTATTGATCAAAACAGAATCGAGTTTTAAAAGAAATAGTGCTAATAATTTACACACGTTTCTATTTTAATGGTTACAGTTCGTTCGGTGTCTAGCCGAATTCTAAACTAGATTCTGAACTAGATTTATGGGCAAATATAAAATATGTGCATCTTAAAACACATGTATTTTCTACTTGTATCATAAAGTAGACATGTAAAATGATAAGATCGAATAAACGATCCCGTCGCAAGATATTAACATTGACGGATTAAATTCAGAGTGCACATATATAAGAATTATATTAAATCATTCGTTGATGGGGCATGTAATGTTGCTTTAGAAAGCTACCGTGTGCATCATGTTTCAAGGACTATTGAAAATCTGTCTTTTTTTCCTGGGTAGCCCGTGCCTTTTTACTCATCCTAGTGAAGCTACGTAGAACTCTGCACCACAAGCAGTTCCTAAATAGTAGAAGAAAGTTAGAATGTTTTTCTTGCCTGTCCATATATTCTCAATTTTTTTCTAAATTTTCCACATTTATTGGAATATTTATTTTGTTTACGAGTGTACCTAAATAGTAAATTACTAACAATATATTTTAATAATAAATTATTAATAGTAAATTACGAAGAGCACAGGCAAATTTATTGACAATGATAATTTCCAATAAAATAAATACATAGGTAAAAATAAAATTATTTTTTTTAGAGTTTGGTCTGGTTCTAAAATTAATGTAATACATAGTTGAATAGTTTTTGCGTACAGAGACTCGTTAGTTTCGTGGAGCCTACATGTAATATATATGTATTTAATGTAAGCATGTTTCTTACATTCAACTTCAAATTCAAAATCAGATGTGAACTATACTATCTGTATCTACGAAATATAATGAGTTTCGTTTTTTTTTTTATTACAGATTTAACATAGCAAAAAAGCAGCGAGCGTATAGTAAATTCTAAATTAATACCTACCTACATAAAAGAATAATAATAAATACTGTACGCTCTATTCATTATCTCTTTCCACGCGAAACCAGAATGTCGATCCACTTTCCTTGACAAGTCAGACATAAAGGGAAATTCATATCAACTTCCATAGATGACTGCTACTTATATTGAGTTTTAATTTACTTAAATTATACGTTCACATAATAATTATATTCTAAAACAAGTAGGTAGAGAGCAGATAATTAATAAACAGGCAAAGTCAAAGCAGGTAAGTATCATTTTCTCCTTTTTGTTAAACGATTCTCCCGTCAGTTTCTTTTCCAGTGTATCAATAATTAAATTAAATAAATTATGCATCGTTGTAGGATTTCAAAATTGAATTTCGCAATTTATGGTGAACGTAATAATAATTTATTGTTGTTCTTAATGATTTTAAAAAGTTATGCGCTCCAAATATAAAAGACGATACGATTAAATCATTGATATACGCATCTCTATTATTAAAATTATAAATAGGGTTGAAGTATAATTTTGCCGTTTTAGCATAATGCCACTCCATAATACGAAACTACAAATTACTCGTAATATCGTTTTAACATCAAAAGGTCTGCAGAAGCTATACTTAGGTCGTCGCTACTCGCCAGACCTAGTCTCAATCGATATGCAATTTTTAACTATTCATTGGGGATATAAAAATATTAGTTAATGCCCAAGACGCGATACAATTTGTCAGAACTTAATAGATTTATAGTAACTTTGTAACATTGTAACGTTGTAAAACTGGAAAGGCCTCCGGGCCACCAGTAACTTCTCAAGCATAAAAATTAAAATAAAAAAAAAAGTTGAAAAATGATGTAGGTAGGTACATGTAATCGCGTAAACGAGATGGTCATATGACACTCGACGTCTTGAACATAAATACACGTACAACGATTGGCATTAACAAATAATGTATATTATGTATATTTATGGGCAGTATTTGTTGCGATATTTAGGTCATTCTAGTTCATCGGGTTGAACGGCCTTTCGTCCTAGGAATCCGGTTTTCTGTTCAGGGTAACCTATGCTCTTTGTGGAACATTAAGTGTTCAAATAAATATATGTATGGATCCTGAATGCATTGTTACTGACCCATTGAAATTAAGTCATGTTCCGGAGCACTAAATACATTCTTTTGATTATTCCTTAAAAAATTTTAGACATTTAATGGAAAATTTGAAAAATACGAAAGCTCAAATACAGAATAAATTATAGTACTCCATAAAACTAATGTTTCACGATAAACTAAACTTACTAATGATACGGTGAAGAAACAATAACGTTCTGTCGCCATAAATAAACACAATTAAGACTTTCAAACAAAAAAATGCATCGGATATTTCTGTCGGTAAAATCTATTCATACGGTAACTTCCTCTGCAACTATTTTTAGTCGGGAGCTCGTTCCCGCCCCAAGTCGCGTGGTCGACAAATCGGTTAGTGAGACGGGAATACAAAACAACTCGAACATTTTGTTATTATCTCATCTTCTACACTGCTCAAACGAATTTCACTCAATTGAAACAGTTTCAGGGCCACAGTCATGTCGTCAAAACGCCGTTAAAATTATTTTATTATCATCCCGAGTACCAATTACGCGATTACGAATATTAAATTACATGTGTTCAATTGTTAAAAGAATGCAAAAGTCTCAATGATCTATTGAAATATATAGATCTATAACATTTAGGTCATGTCTATACTCCTAGGTTTAGTAAGTGATAATCGTATCTAATTCCCATTCACGATACGTAAGTAAATTCTTTGTTACACTAACATAAAATGTTATTGAATTAATCGCCGATTACTGAATCATTCTAAACTATGTTGACATTTAGCATCCTACCAATTGGTAATGATTTTATTAGAAATACTACGTAGGTGTATTTCGAATGTTACATACCATTTCCGGAGTTGTGTATGGCTTTTATCGCCTTCTTCAGTTTCGTTAGGCCATCGCGGTCGTAATCCAATGTCTGTAACAACAACAAAAAAAACTTAATTGCATACAAATTTGCCTTTAATTTAGTGACAGATTAGTGGTTTTCCTTGAACGTTTTTATCAAGTAATAAATAATAGTTTAAAAAAACTAACAAAATACGCTTTTAAAAATAGTGTAAGAAAGAAAAAATTATTTTATTGTAAAAAAAGCGTGGGGTGCTTTTCAGGATATTATCAAAATAACCCTTCTCATATCGATCATCATCGCGCTTTTTTTACAATACTTAATATAATTTTTTCTTACACTATTTTTAATTCAAATTTATTAAAATATATTTTCTGTTTTTTAGTTGGATTTTCTATAAAAGCGTATTTTGTTAGTCTTTTTAAACTATTATTTATTTTTCATTTTTTAGTTGAATTTCAATTTTTTCAATATATTTTTTCTATTTTTTTTCAATATTGAATTGTCATCGGTCCTTAATAAGTATACCAAATTTCGAGTTAATGCGACGTTTTGAAGGGGGTCAAAATCATGTTCAAAGATTTCGTTACAAACATACATACGTCTGAAGATGCGTCTGAAGCTAATAAAAGCGTATTAAAAACGTTAACTATTTATGTTATTGTCAAAATTCGTTCATTGGTAGGGGAACGCGTCGCGCTTCACCCGAAGGTCGTCGGGTGATCACAAAGCAGCGGGCACAATAGCGGGCACGAGCCACTCGGAGGCGCATTCAACATCTGTCGCTTCAGCTGGTTAATAATCAATGCACCCTCGTTATGCAACCGTCCGAAATAAATCTCGTAAGCCCTCATTCGCACGGGCGTTTTAAAAACGTTGCGTTAAAACTCGGCGTTGGCGCTTTTATAACGTTCTCGCTGTGACGTAATCTGTAGCGTCCAACGCTTAGCGCTGAAAATGCAACACTGCCCAATAAAAAAGTGTCGCGTTTTAAAAACGCTGACGTATGAACATATACTAGGAAATGCATCTGTTCTATTTGAACGCTTTTTTTAACGCGCGCTAAAAAAACTCCCGTGCGATTGAGGCGTAAAAGATCCAGTTCGGAGCACGTTTGCTTGATACAATACCGATGCTTGTATGTATACCAAACTATAAATTCCCCTTGATGATTTTGCGTGTGTATTCGAGAAATTCACATTAAAAACTTTAAAAGTAAGTAATGTTCTGCTATTCTAGTGAAAATTTTAAGTCACTTGATTTGTAAAACTCGTCATTTAAGTGGCCTGAAAATAAACCTAACATTATGTTTATTTCAAACATATTTATTTTGTTAATTTATCTTTCAAATTGTTTTTTTTTTCCTACCTAAGCTGATAGCCTTGAGAGGCTATATCAGCGTCGCCTTAACTAGTAGATGAGCTCACGGGGCTCAAACCCGATGACGTTGCTAACACGACCCCTAGCGAGAGCCGTGCTTCGCAGAATCTACCACCGGATCGGAAACGCGATCCACTGAGAAGATCCGGCGAGAAACTCAGTGGGCTGCCCCTTGATGATTTTGTGTGTGTATTCGAGAAATTCACACTAAGAAGTTTAAAAGTAATGTTCTGCTATTCTGGTGAAAATTTTAAGTCACTTGATTTGTAAAACTCATAATTTAAGTGGCCTGAAAATAAAACCTAACATGATGTTTATTTCAAACGGATTTATTTTGTTAATTTATCTTTCAAATTGTTAATTTAGAACTGACGTACGAATCAGCAACCCATCTAATATTTATGAGCTACATAATATATCTTTGTGGTAAAATAATAAAGCGGTTCTATTGGATGCTATACACATTACGGCTGGAACTAACCATACAAGTATAAGCATAGGTAAACGATAAGATTTATTACTGTATAAATCTTACGATATACTACATCGCTAGAGTGTTTAATGTGATGTGTGGAAGTCGGTAGTTTGCGTATGTAAAGCCCGTTTTATTACGTGGTCGATGTAGTGACCGCAGTACCCATGCAGTACCATATACGTAGCATTCAATGTCTGCAAAATGTGTATGGGTTTCGGTCAAGGTGTTCGTTCGTTCACTCAATTATTGTTATACGAATTTACGAGACAATTCATCGACGCTCTTTTAAGCATTTTTAAATGGACTCTCAAATGACAATTCTCGTATTTTAAGTCGTCGTGGTCTAAAGGATAAGACGTCCGGTGCATTCGTATGTAGCGATGCACTGATGTTCGAATCCCGCCGGCAAGGTACCAATTTATTCCAATGAAAAACTTACTTGACAAATGTTCACGATTGACTTGTACTGACGTTGTAGACGTTTATGGGCTTCGGTAACACTTAAAATCGGGAGGACTGTGAGATCGTCATAAAAAAAAAATAATCATATCAAGTCTCGTCAAAAAAATTTGATTAGCAAGTCAAATCATTGACTTATAAAAAAAACAGATGAAGTAATATGTACTTATCTATCACGAAATATAATAAATACATATTACTCGTAGTATTATCACGCAAAAAAAACCGTTTCCTTTATCAACTAATTCCAACTTCAATTGTGTTTGACAGAAAAATAAACATGAAATAATTGTTTCAGATAAGCGGTACACGATAAAAATAGTCGAATAAGTACATTTAAACCTGCATAATTCACTTGTAACTGAACCTTGAAATATTGTGCAGTGAATAGCTTTATCTAAACTGACACAATCTGCACTAAAGATAAGATAAGATAGAATACAATACGAACAGATTCGCTTTCTTGCTTGTGGCCAAATACGCATGTGAACGAGATGGAACTGAGCAATTAATTATATTCATAAATCCAAAACCGTGCAAGTGTGTCTCGATAAAAAGCATTGTAAAGTTATGTAGTCAGGATGAAATTTCACGATGTTAAAATTATTATTTATAATCTCTATATATATGTCGACGCATCACTCTAATTATATGGAAAAATAATTAATCAATCAAGATTAATTCCTAATTTAACATGCGGCGTAATTATTGATTGTAATTATCACACGTGTAGTAAATATATTTCAGACTGATTGTTAATTTAAGCAAAATGCAATGTTATGGTTTGCTGTCACTTGGGCAGCAAACGATAACGTTGCATTTACCATTCGTCTTCAGNTTGAACGTTTTTATCAAGTAATAAATAATAAATAATAGTTTTAAAAAACTAACAAAATACGCTTTTAAAAATAGTGTCAGAAAAAATGATTTTATTGTAAAAAAAGCGTGGGGCGTAAGCGTTATCAAAATAACCCTTCTCCTCATATCGATCATCATCGCGCTTTTTTTACAATACTTAATATAATTTTTTCTTACACTATTTTTAATTCAAATTTATTAAAATTTATTTTCTGTTTTTTAGTTGGATTTTCTATAAAAGCGTATTTTGTTAGTCTTTTTAAACTATTATTTATTTTTCATTTTTTAGTTGAATTTCAATTTTTTCAATATACTTCTTCTATTTTTTTTAAATATTGAATTGTCATCGGTCCTTAATAAGTATACCAAATTTAGAGTTAATCCGAAGTTTTGAAGGGGGTCAAAATCATGTTCGAACATTCCGTTACAAACATACATACGTCTGAAGATGCGTCTGAAGCTAATAAAAGCGTATTAAAAACGTTAACTATTTATGTTATTGTCAAAATTCGTTCATTGGTAGGGGAACGCGTCGCGCTTCACCCGAAGGTCGTCGGGTGATCACAAAGCAGCGGGCACAATAGCGGGCACGAGCCACTCGGAGGCGCATTCGACATCTGTCGCTTCAACTGGTTAATAATCAATGCACCCTCGTTATGCAACCGTCCGAAATAAATCTCGTAAGCCCTCATTCGCACGGGCGTTTTAAAAACTTTGCGTTAAAACTCGGCGTTGGCGCTTTTATAACGTTCTCGCTGTGACGTAATCTGTAGCGTCCAACGCTTAGCGCTGAAAATGCAACACTGCCCAATAAAAAAGTGTCGCGTTTTAAAAACGCTGACGTATGAACATATACAAGGAAATGCAGCTGTTTTATTTGAACACTTTTTTAATGCGCGATAAAAAAACTCCCGTGCGATTGAGGCGTAAAAGATCCAGTTCGGAGTACGTTTGCTTGATACAATACCGATGCTTGTATGTTTACCAAACTATAAATTCCCCTTGATGATTTTGCGCGTGTATTCGAGAAATTCACATTTAAAACTTTAAAAGTAATGTTCTGCTATTCTAGTGAAAATTTTACGTCACTTGATTTGTAAAACTCGTCATTTAAGTGGCCTGAAAATAAACCTAACATGTTGTTTATTTCAAACAGATTTATTTTGTTAATTTATCTTTCAAATTTTTATTTTTTTCCTACCTAAGCTGATAGCCTTGAGAGGCTATATCAGCGTCGCCTTAACTAGTAGGTGAGCTCACGGGGCTCAAACCTGATGACGTTGCTAACACGAACCCTAGCAAGAGCCATGCTTCGCAGAATCTACCACCGTATCGGAAACGCGACCCACTGAGAAGATCCGGCGAGAAACTCATTGGGCTGCCCCTTGACGATTTTGTTTATTTCAAACGGATTTATTTTGTTAATTTATCTTTCAAATTGTTAATTTAGAACTGACGTAAGAATCTGCAATCCTTCTAATATTTATGAGCTACATATATCTTTGTGGTAAAATAATAAAGCGGTTCTATACTATTGGATGCTATACGCATTACGGCTGGAACTAACCATACAAGTATAAGCATAGGTAAACGATAAGATTTATTACTGTATAAATCTTACGATATACTACATCGCTAGAGTGTTTAATGTGATGTGTGGAAGTCGGTAGATTGCGTATGTAAAGCCCGTTTTATTACGTGGTCGATGTAGTGACCGCAGTACCATATACGTAGCATTCAATGTCTGCAAATTGTGTATGGGTTTCGGTCAAGGTGTTCATTCGTTCAATCAATTATTGTTGTACGAATTTACGAGACAATTCATCGACGCTCTTTTAAGCATTTTTAAATGGATTCTCAAATCAGTTCTCTATTCTCGTCGTATTTTAAGTCGTCG